CCAGAAGACTTCCCCAGAAACTTCTGCTTATGTCTCATTATTTAAATCTAGGTCATATGATTCCCCCTAGATCATGACTGAAGACTAAAAACTGGGCAGAGAAAAGCGAGTGGGAGTGGTGGCTGGCCAACCATGACTGGCTGCCACACCTTCCTTCACAGCTTTAGTGCAGCCTTAGAAGTTAGGGACAGAGTGAGGAGACTGAGGTTAGTTAGGCTAACCTGGAAGTGTGAGACATGATGCAGCTCTGTCCCTGTCCAGAGCTGCTTTCAAGAGTCAGTCCCACTTCATAAAGTCTAAGTTTCCTGGGCTTATGGCAAAGTTCCTGACATAAACATAGAAACCTTTTCACCTGCCTTCTGATAGATTTAGCATCTAATTCATACTCCTTTCTTTAGAATTAGCAAAACAAAAAAAATATTCTAAAAATACTTAACAACTCATCTACAATCATTAAGCACTGCTCAATTTGAGGACCCCAAAGGCTGGTCTTCTGGAACTTCCCAGACACTATTACGGCAGTTAACCATGTTACTATATGTACAACTTCTTTTCCTAGTAAGTTAGCCCATTAGTTGGACTTCAAGCTTGGGCCCTTCACATCAAGTCTATGGTGCTATTAATCACTAGCCAGGAAAAAACTATAAATTTGAATCCTTAAACACAGACCAAAGTTCACCTTCTCTACTTCTCATTTTTTCTCAATGCTCCTGGGATAGAAGGGAAATTAATATGTTCATCTAGGATGCATTTGCCTATCTTCTTCCCAGAGCACCTGTCCAATCTTTCTGTAAATCACTATAGAACTTTTAAAAGCATTCTTTTCTCTTTTCTTTCATTTTGCTTTGTTTTGTTTGAGACAGGCTTCACTATGTAGTAGAGGCTGGCCTTGAGCTCACTGTGTAGCCCAGGCTGGTCTCAAACTTTCAACAATCCTCCTACCTCTGTCTTTCCAGAGCTGGAATTACAGACATGCACCACCATGTCCAGTGGGAGTAGGATTTTAATTATGAATTCTGAAGGCATACAAACACTCAATCCACACTCAGATCTATGGAAAAGACACATAAGGAAAAGAAAATTAGCTTTCTTTTTTCCTCCCTCTTACCCTGTGGCTAATTGTAGGAACTACACATACAGACTATGAATTAAATTGGGGTTATTTTATGATTAAAGATTTTCAGTAGATAACTTTTTAAAATATTTTTAACTATATAATTATTTACTTGGTATAGGGTCTCACTGCACAACTCAGACACAGTGATGCTCCTCTTTCAGCCTCCCCAGTGCTGGGATTACAGGCGTGTGCCACCACACCTGTTTTGGTGGGGAGCTCAGCACGGGGCCGGCACAGCATGTGGGTCCAGGGAATCAAACCCAGGTCCTTGTGCTTGCCAGGCAGGCGCTTACACTGCTGAGCTATCTCCCCAACCCCTAGGTAACTTTTTAAAATCAAACCCTGGGCCTGTTCATGCTAGGCAAGTACTTTATCACTAAGCTGTATACCTCAAGCCTTTCACTTGGTACTTTTTTATTAGTGCATATTGGTTATACAGAATAGCACGTCTTGGCATATCCATACGTACATTTAGCATACTTTATTCCTTTCCCTCACCCCCTCATATCCCAGAGCATCTGACTCAATGGCCATTGTTTTAGCCCCCAAGCATCAGACCGTACTACTGTCCAAGCCTGAAGTTTCTGGGGCCTGTCAATAACTACAATCAGGCAAATCAAAAAAGTGAATCACCCTAAGTCATTGACAAATGTTAGTTCATAGTCTTTCTTTATTATAGACTCCAGGAGGACAAGTTCTTTTAATGAACTTCTAAGTCCTATACTTACTGCATGAAATACAAGAGACACTCAATAAATTTTATTAAACATACATTTTCACAAATAAATGCATAAAATAGTGTAAAACAGATTTTAAGAAATAATAATAAACTGGTATGGTGGGCCATACCTATAATCCCGACAATTAGGAGGATGAT